CATACAGTGATCTCCATGGGAGAACACCTTTGTCCTCTAAAAACCAGGTACAGTAACAATTATGCGGCAGGCTTCCATCAACATGGGTATGACTTAGAAGTTCAACACCCCACAACTTCATCTGTCCAGTATGATTGAAGTGGTGTGTTGCTCAAATGCTTCTGATAGAAGGAAGCGATAGATAAGGGTAACTTGAGACCCAGTGTCAAACAAAGCTGAAGTTTTAAGTCCGTTGACAGTAACGTTAACAATGGACTTGGAGCCTATGATAGGCGTGTTTTGATCCTGACTTTGAAATATTCAGTCGTCCTTTGTGCTTTTGTACAGGGTAATGACACACTTTGCACCATTCCTCTCATAATCGTCATTACAATTTGGGGGTCTAGCTGAATGGCTCCGTCTGACCCACACCTGAGAGCACTTTTCTAGAGTCTCTCCCTCTGTGTAATGCAACGGGCTTGTTAATGGAAGACTTGGACCAAGTGAATTCAGGTGATAATCATTTTGAACAGTATGAGAAGGGAGGTCCTCTTTAAAAGGTTGTTTGCACTTTCTTAGGGGTGCTAAACTGAATGTCAGCTTCCAATTTCTTCACTAACTTCATTAGTCCATGAAGAGGAAGAATATCATCAGATAACTTTCACTTTGAGGAGCTGTGCGAGAGGATAGATGAGGTAACAACCCCCGTACTAATTGACTAGTACCTCATTGAATTCACTGCATCAGGATGTATAGCAGTGTGATACACCAGACGTGACAACAGTAACTGCAATCGATTAATGAAAGTGGGAAACACTCTCTCCTTCTTTCTGACGGGTCATACGATAGTCAGCAACCATCTGTTCAAGGTCATAGTATGGTTCAAAATGGTCAGACAGTACTTGTATATAGTCTGTTGCACTTACCCCCTCATGGGTATCTCGATACAAGCGGATTAGTTCTGCTGCTGGAGATCGCAGACTGTTCCATAACACGCTGACGCTTGCCTTCCTCTGAGCAGGAACCATTCTTTCAAGCATTGAAGGGTGTGCTCTTTCCAAAATTCGAAAGCTTTCTTCTCTTGTGGATACAGGAACATTACCAGAGAACACTTTTTAGCTTTCTATAATGTGCCGCCTGTAACCCTTGTGCTAGCATCTCAGTCAGTTGATTTAAAGTGCCAACAGCATTCTCACTAGATTGTGAAATATTGACATCTTCCTGATAAAAATAGTTAACTGGCATTTGTTCTTCTTTTACACTGACGTTTTTGTGGGACAGAGGGAAGGTACCTCCTTCTGGGAGTAGGTTGAGGGCGCCACTTTTCTTCGTGTTGCTCCTCCATGACTGACTATTAAACCCACTTCGATCTCAGCCAGTGCCCTCCAAATGTAGCCCTGTTTTGGGGGGGGTTATGTGAAATGGCCCACACCAAACAAGCTTATGGCGCTAACCTGTATATGAGTAGGCAATCCTGAGCCTTCGCTATATGGAAGAGAGGGGGTTGTGATAATACAAATGGCAGTGCCTCCACCTAGAATAGGGATCCTGCAATTGAGGAGACTCACCCCTTTCTAGGAATGTAACAGGTAGACAACTTACAGTAACTATACATAGCAGTATTAATGCACCCAGCTTATATTTTAACATGAATACATGTCACCACACCTGTATGAGATTAATGCAAAGTTTATATAAAGCAGCCACATCAAACAGGATGCATAAGAATAACATTTAGGAATTACAATTTAGCATAAATTGGGAGGTTGCAATTATACCCGGGTATATGTGCATGTAGTATACAGAATACCTCCAACCATGGGTTATAGCGCAGTCCGGTTGCAGGGGCCCCTGAGAGGTTGAAGGTCCATAAGATGCACGCTTCCACTTTAGATGCTGTGATGGCGTCCAAGTAACATGCGGATTATTGCACTGCTTGTCTGAAGATCAGCGATGCATCACCTAAAAGGATAAAATGCTCTATCTATCCTCACTCTTAGTCCCTATTCCTAAACTGGGCTGTCAATGCAACCGGGCCTCTATCTGTCTAAGTGGCCGTCGGATGCCTAACCTACCTCTAGCCTAATCTTATCCAACACTCCCTATGCTAATCCTAGCTAAAAGAGAGATCCAGACCAATAAGGCTCTTCAAGCAAAGAGGCTGCAAAGATACACTGAAATTAACAGAAAGTTCACCTGACAATCTAATGCAGGTGAAAACACTGATCTATATATATATATAGACAACTATAAGGATTCTGCAGGGTGTAAATAGAATAATGATAATGAACCACAAATCTCTCTCTTACAGAGATATTAGGGTTCCTATACAGAAGTTGAAATATAACAGAGGCAGACCTAATCTGCTTCAGTAACAACTAAATAGATAACAGCCTTGTTAATCTGGATCATTACTCACAGAATCCCCAGACAGTTCTCCCCAGATACATAACACATGGCAGGCTGGTACCCTCTGCCTGATACTTCCTGGAAAACAACTATATAACATCCTGGGGTTTCCTGACCTCCTTGTAGGGGCAGGAAGCACACCCAGGGACTTGTCTGTAATGGGACCTCTATGGTAGTGGCTGTATATGGATGTAAACAAACCACAACTAGTGTATAAAATAACAGTTCCCTACACTAGCATGAAGTGCTCCAAAAATCTCCTGGTAGACGGCTGCATTGACCCTGGACTTAATGAAGCACAGTGGACCAACACCAGCAGATGACATGGCTCCCCAAATCAACACAGACTGTGGAAACTTCACACTGGGACTTCAAGCATCTTGCAGTGTGTGCCTCTCCATTCTTCCTCCATACTCGGGGTCCTTGTGCGTCTCCATTCTTCCTCCATACTCGGGGTCCTTGTGCGTCTCCATTCTTCCTCCATACTCGGGGGCCTTGTGCCTCTCCATTCTTCCTCCATACTCTGGGTCCTTGTGCCTCTCCATTCTTCCTCCATACTCGGGGTCCTTGGGCCTCTCCATTCTTCCTCCATACTCTGGGTCCTTATGCCTCTCCATTCTTCCTCCATACTCGGGGTCCTTGTGCCTCTCCATTCTTCCTCCATACCCAGGGTCCTTGGGTCTCTCTCCATTCTTCCTCCATACTCGGGGTCCTTGGGCCTCTCCATTCTTCCTCCATACTCAGGGTCCTTGTGCCTCTCCATTCTTCCTCCATACTCGGGGTCCTTGTGCCTTTCCATTCTTCCTCCATACTCGGGCTCCTTGGGCCTCTCCATTCCTCCTCCATACTCGGGGGTCCTTGTGCCTCTTCATTCTTCCTCCATACTTGGGGTCCTTGGTTTCCAAATGAGATGCAACAGTTGCTCTCATCAGAAAAGAGGACTTTGGACCACTGAGGAACAGACCAGGTCTGTTTTTCTTTAGCCCAGGTAAGACGCTTCTGATGTTGTTTGTTGTTCAGGAGCGGCTTGACAAGAGGAATACGACATTTGAAGCCCATGTCCAGGATCTGTCTGTGTGTGGTGGCTCTTGATGCACTTGACTCCAGCCTCAGTCCACTCTTTGTGAAAGTCCCCAACACTTTTGAATGGCCTTTTCCTGACAATCCTCTCCAGGCTACGGTCATCCCTGCTGCTTGTGCACCTTTTTCTTCCACACTTTTCCCTTCCACATGACTTTCTATTAATGTGCTTTGATACAGCACTTTGGGAACATCCAACTTTTTTTTGCAATTACCCTTTGATGCTTTCCCTCCTTATGGAGGGTGTCAATGATGGTTTTTTGCACAACTGTCAGGTCAGCAGTCTTTCCCATGATTGTGATTTCCTACTGAACCAGACTGAGAGACCATTTAAAGGCTCAGGAACCCTTTGCAGGTGTTGTGGCTTAATTAGCTGATTGGGACACTTTGAGCCGAGAACATTGCACCTTTTCACAAGATTCTCATTTTCTGAGATTGTGGATTTGGGGTTTTCATGAGCTGTAAGCCATAATCATCACAATGATGACAAATCACGGCTTGAACTATCTTGCATGGCATGTAATGAGTCTATCTCATATATTAGTTTCACCTTTTAAGTTGCTGCACTGAAATAAATGAACTTTTGCACCATATTCTAATTTTTTGCGTTTCACCTGTATATGTCAGCATACTACAAACCTTATGCAGTTCAATACAACTCAGAAAATTACATAAAAGTGGGGTTGACTATGGTCACTTGTTCTATGCTAAAGGTTCTGAACTGTGAACCTCTTGTTTATCAGAGATCACATGACCCAGTGCCTAGGCTTGTGGTTGTGTAAAGAGCATTTGAGTCTTCACTGGTTCCTGCTCTTCTGACATTGATTATGGTTTTATATTTTCCAGGATATGCCATTGAGAAGCCTTCAAAGGATCATCTAGATTGTAAAGTAGAAGAGAAGGACATCACAGGAGATTGTGCAGGAGAAAAAGGCAATGAGCTCAGCTATGGATGGTGGACTTCACAGTGTGGATGGACCATTAAATCCCTCTGACTCTGAGCAACCTCGTACTGTGAGGGATGGTGCTGGAATTCAGGGGGAGGAGAAATTTTCCTGTCCTGAATGTGGGGAAAGTTTTAGCTCTAAATCAAGTTTTACTGTACATCAGAGATCTCACACGGGTGAGAAGCTTCATTCCTGTTCTGAGTGCGCGGAAATGTTTCCTTTATAAATCAGAACTCGTCATACATTACAGATCTCACACGGGGGAAAAGCCAAATTCCTGCCCCCAATGTGGGAAAAGTTTTACAAAGAAATCAAATCTATTAAGACATCAGAGATCTCACATGGGGGAGAAGCAGTGTTTCTGTCCTGAGTGCGGAAAATGTTTTTTACACAGAGCAGACCTTGTTAGACATCAGAGATCCCACACAGGGGAGAAGCCATTTCCCTGCCCCGAATGCGGAAAATGTTTTTCACAAAAATCTACTCTTGTTTATACATCAAAGAACTCACACGGGGGAGAAACCATATTCCTGCCCCAAATGCGGAAAATGCTTTTCACTGAAATCAGGCCTTGTTATACATCAGAGATCTCACACGGGGGAAAAGCCGTATTCTTGCCTTGAATGCGGGAAATGTTTTTTACACAGTTCGGACCTTGTTAAACATCAGAGATCCCACACGGGGGAGAAGCCGTATTCCTGTCCCAAATGCGGGAAATGTTTTTTACAAAAATCAGACCTTGTTAAACATCAGAGATCTCACACAGGGGAGAAGCCGTATTCCTGCCCTAAATGCAAAAAATGTTTTTTCACTTAAATCAGGCCTTGTTAGACACCAGAGATTGCACACGGGGGAGATGCCGTATTCTTGCTCTGAGTGCGGTAAATGTTTTTCGTGGAAATCAAAACTTATTATGCATCAGAGATCTCACACGGGGGACAAGCCGTATTCCTGCCTCGAGTGCGGAAAATGTTTTCTGCAAAAATCTGACCTTGTTAAACATCAGAGATCTCACACAGGGGAGAAGCCGTATTCCTGCCCCACATGTGGAAAATGTTTTTCATTGAAATCAGACCTTGTTAGACATCAGAGATTGCATACAGGGGAGAAGCCGTATTCCTGCCTCAAGTGCAGGAAATGTTTTACCCAGAAATCTAATCTTGTTATACATCAGAGATCTCACGGGTGTAGGGATGAGCCAAACATTCCTGGGATCACTTCACAGGAGATTATCTGAATTGCTCTTATTTTCTGATTGTGTTAATCTGAACCCCAGTGAAGTCAATGTTACCAGAATCTTTAGAATCACTCAGGCAATTTTTTAAGGCAAATAGGCAAGACATTGTCAAAAAAGAAGGAACAGGGAGTTGTATACCAGGAAACTACAGACTAGTCAGCCTAACATCAATAGTATGTAAGATATTTGAGAGAATGGTTGGGGACTCTATACAGAAATGTCTGATAAAGGTATCATAAGTGCCTAAGAGCATTGATTTATGAATGGCCGTTCTTTTCAGATCAAGCGATTATCATTCTATGAAGAAGTAAGTAAAATATTGGATGGTGGAAGTCCAGTGTACATAGTCTCTCTTTATTTTGTAAGCAGTCCTGAATGTGGGAAATGTTTTATAGATGAATCACAACCAGGGGCGGACTGACAACTCATGGGGACCCCGGGCAATAGGGGATCATGGGGCCCCTGTGTCCTTGCCCAAACTCAAAAAAGCCCATGAAAAAGGTACCAGGGACATCTCATTGGGCCCCCTACTGACCCTAGGCCCTCGGGCAGTGCCTGAGTTTTCAAATGGTCAGTCTGCCCCTGATCACAACTTGTTATAAATCAGAGATCTCACACAGGGAAGAAGATGCTGTAATGGTAATGCGTAATGTGCCCTCACAAAGCTGTATGAAGGGGCAAGGGTGCCATATTGTTCAGACTTCTGCCATGACAGTTTGTAACACAAGTTGGCGAATAGCAGCAGTGGCTCCTCTTCCTTCATCCCCCCAGGAAGCCTCTGGTGCAATACACAGCTGTTAACTGATGCCAGAGCCTTCTTATCAGACCAGGACAGATATAGCCCCTCTCATACCTGTTAGCCCAATCCACCATTCTAGTCTGGGAACCCTAATGAAACTGTCATCCTCGCAAGCTTTAGCAATCTGGAGAACTAAACAGACATTAACGCCATAAATACCTTAGTGGAAGTCTGTGTAATACACATTTCTGATCGACTGATTATCAGCCGAGACTCTAAAACTTCAGCATGTTTCATAACTTCTAAAATTATGACAGTACAGCTAGAATTACCGTATATAGTCGAGTATAAGCCGAGTTTTTCAGCACATTTTTTGTGCTGAAAAACGGCCCCCTCGGCTTATACTCGAGTCAACGTCTGCAGATGTCTAGCAGGGGGCGCTGCTTCTAAAGCCAGTGCTTCTCAAATAGTGGGGCACGCCCCCCAGGGGGGGCGCGAGGCTCCGTCAAGGGGGGCTTGTACAAGGGTGGGCAGAGGGCTGCTGTCTCTTACCTGGCTCCCACGATGATCCATCCAGGAAGCGCTGCTCCTTTCGTCACTCCGGCCACTCCCTCACTCCTGCCGCTCGGCTCCGCCTCCTCACCGGTGATTGGCTACCAGAACTGTAGCTCAGGAAAGGTACACAGGCGGCCAATCACGGGCGAGGAGGCGGAGCCGAGCGGACCCACGAAAAATCGAGTGAGGGAAAAGCCGGTAAGTGTGCAGTGCAGAGGTGCTGCTGCAACCACATATGCTGGCTGCAGCAGCACCATACTGCAACAGGGGTCAGCAAGTGTCATTGGTGTCAGTGGGAGGAATAGTGCCGCATCATTGGTGTCACTGATACTAATGATGGGGCATTATTCCTCCCACTGACACCAACGATGGGGCACTATTCCTCCCACTGACACCAATGATGGGGCACTATTCCTCCCACTGATACTAATGATGGGGCATTATTCCTCCCACTGACACCAACGATGGGGCACTATTCCTCCCAGTGATACCAATGATGGGGCACTATTCCTCCCACTGACACCAATGATGGGGCACTATTCCTCCCACTGACACCAATGATGGGGCACTATTCCTCCCACTGATACCAATGATGGGGCACTATTCCTCCCACTGACACCAATGATGGGGCACTATTCCTCCCACTGATACCAATGATGGGGCACTATTCCTCCCACTGACACCAATGATGGGGCACTATTCCTCCCACTGATACTAATGATGGGGCACTATTCCTCCCACTTTATTTTTTACATTGACTAGTAGGTGCCTCATTTCCCACCCTCGGCTTATACTCGAGTCAATAGTATTTCTCAGTTTTTTGTGGTAAAATTAGGTACCTCGGCTTATATTCGGGTCGGCTTATACTCGAGTATATACGGTAAGTCATATTCACCTGCATCAGTTATTGGGTAGCATTTTGAACCCAAACACCCCTATGCTAAGAGGTATTAGAGTGGAGTAGGTGTTCACACCCTTCCTATGAGAAATAGATCTCTGAGACCTGTCATATCTATATCAATTTTGAAGCTAATTTCATGCTGGACAATAATCCACATAGAAGACTATAAATGATAGGTTTTCAGAAATAAGAATTCTTATAAGAAACTGTATTTGGTCATAAACGTGGTGACCTCCCAGCACCCACCCCTAATCCGGATGATTGGTCAGATGGTATCTGTCAACACCACCCTTGATGTCAGATAAAAAAGAGATTGCAAGCAGATTTGATAGCTCTCGTTTTAACATCAATCAAGGAACACCTAACCGGACTTGAGAGAGCCACTGTACTGTTTTTGCTTGATCAATTGGACTCTGCAAAAACCAAGGATTTTGCAAATATTCATCATTTTCAACTCCTTTTAATTATCTGTTGCTTTATTGTCTCGTTTGAGTTTCTGCCTGCTCAGTAAAAAGGGTGGTGGTGGCAGCTTAAAGAGTTAATTGCTCTCAGATTGCTTGCACCTAGATTGTAACAGTGTGGTGTAAGATTGGTCAGTCCTTTGTCACGAGTTGGAAGGGCAGGAGTCGAGTACCGCATTTGTCACATGTATTCTTGCCCTAAGTGTAGAAAATGTTTTCCAGATAATAAACACCTTGTTAGCCATCAGAGAACTCACAGAGGAATGTAGGGATGAGTCGAACATTCCTGATTTCAGATCCCAGGAGGTTCGCTGAACCCATGGTAGTGGTGAATAGAGATGAGCGAATCGAACTTGGCGAAGTGGAATTCGTTTAGAATATTAGGAAAAATTTGATTCGCATCGAATCCGAATTTTAGCAAACTTCGGATGCACGAATCGAATTTTCCCCGATCAGCCGGCAAAAGTGTCACTGCAGAGAGCTCCGCTATTTCTGACAGTTCTCTGACAGTTCTGACAGTTCATTTACAGCGGTTGAAACATTGTATCTATTTGTTTCCATTTAGGATACAGATGTTTTTATTCGGAAATAAATAGATACAATGTTTTTCAACCGCTGTAAATGAACTGTCAGAGAACTGTCAGAAATAGCGGAGCTCTCTGCAGATACACTTTTTGCTGTACTGGAATTCTTCTTCTTTTCATTCTTCTTCTTCTTTTTTCATTCTTCTTCTTCTTCTTTTTCTTTTCTTCTTCTTCTTCTTCTTTTCATTCTTCTTCTTCTTCTTTTCATTCTTTTCATTCTTCTTTTTTCATTCTTCTTCTTTTCTTCTTCTTCTTCTTCATTTTCTTTTTTTTCATCTCTTCTTCTTTTCATTCTTCTTCTTCTTCTTTTCATTCTTCTTTCTTCTTTTCATTCTTCTTTTCATTCTTCCTTCTTCTTCTTTTCATTCTTCTTCTTCTTTTCATTCTTCTTCTTCTTCTTTTTATTCTTCTTCTTTTCATTCTTCTTCTTCTTCTTTTCATTCTTCTTCTTTTCATTCTTCTTTTCATTCTTCTTCTTTTCATTCTTCTTCTTCTTCTTCTTTTTCATTCTTCTTTTCATTCTTCTTCTTCTTCTTTCATTCTTCTTCTTCTTCTTTCATTCTTCTTTTCATTCTTTCTTTTCTTTTCAATTCTTCTTTTTTCATTCTTCTTTTCATTCTTCTTTTTTCATTCTTCTTCTTTTCATTCTTCTTTTCTTTTCATTCTTCTTCTTCTTTCTTTTCATTCTTCTTTTCTTCTTCTTCATTCTTCTTCTTTCTCTTTTCATTCTTCTTTTCATTCTTCTTCTCATTCTTCTTTTCTTCTTCTTCTTCTTTTCATTCTTCTTCTTCTTTTCATTCTTCTTCTTCTTCTTTTCATTCTTCTTTTCATTCTTCTTCTTTCTTTTCATTCTTCTTCTTCTTCTTTTTTCATTCTTCTTTTCATTCTTCTTCTTCTTTTCATTTTCTTCTTTTCATTCTTCTTCTTTTCTTTTCATTCTTCTTCTTTTCTTTCTTCTTCGTCTTCTTCTTCGTCGTGCCCCGTGACTGCCCAAATGAGTGAAGTGTGCGGTGATTCTAAGATCGACGCACTCATCTGCATGTCATACTGACTGACAGTATTATTTCTCTTCCCCAGCAGACTCCAAGGGCATTTAAATTAAAGGTACAGTGTTCTGCACTAGTATAAAGGCTCTCTGAAGCCTAGAAACACCCTTTTAATAAGTTAAATTCGCGGCGAATAAATTTGCATCGAATCGAATTTCTCCCGCAAATTCGGCGAATCAGCCGAATCGAATTTTTGAATAATTCGCTCATCTCTAGTGGTGAACCCAGGGGCGGACTGACCATTTGGAAACTCGGGCACTGCCCGAGGGCCCGGGGTCAGTAGGGCCCCATGA